GACAACCCACCATGGACAGACACTGGTGTAGCCACAGACTCAGATGACATCAGGGGTAGGTGAAGCTGAAAGTGTATTTTCATGAGCGGTATGTTCAGTCTTGCTTTTGGAATTGGGTAGAGTATGTGAATTCCTTTCTCGCATGTTCAAGTCTCACATTAAAGACCATGTCAGTTGGGCTAAATGCCATAGAGGAAATAATAGGCCGAAGTCCTCCATTTCTCCAGTTTGCCATCTCCTTGTTGGGCAGTACCGTAATTGAGTTAAGTAGGAGTTACAAGCCTGTGACCTGGGTCTCACCCGGAGTGACAGACAAGTTCAACATTGCTGGAGCAATATGAGTTAAAGAAGAGGCAATTAAACAACTCCTTGGTGGCAGGGCCACTGGGGTGGATGAGTTTCACCCTGAGTTCCTGAAGGTTCTGGTGGATGGTGTGCTGTCTTGGTTGACACACCTCTACAATGTTGCATGGAGATCAGTTACAGTACCTCTGAATTGGCAGACCGGGGTGGTGGTTCCCATCTTTAAGAAGGGGGACTGGAGGGTGTGTTCCAACTATCACAGGAAGGACTCAGCCTCCCTTGGAAAGTCTATGCCAGGGTGCTGGAAAGGAGAGTCCGTCTGTTAGTTGTTAGTAGGAACAATGCAGTTTTCACCCTGATTGTGGAACAATCGACCAGCTCCTTACCCTCTCGAGGGTAGTTGAGGGTGCATGGGAGCTTGCCCAACCAGTCTACATGTGTTTTGTGGACTTAGAGAAGGCATTCGACCATGTCAGAGTGGGGGGTGCGAGGTACTTCAGGAGTATTTGGTGTCTGGTCCATTGCTATGGGCCATTCAATCCTTATATCACTGTTGCAAGAGCTTTGTCTGGACTTGTTTCTGGACTTGTCACCGTGTGGTGGGGCGTGGTCTGTGGTGCCATGCAGACGCACCTACATGGCATCCGCAATCACGCCTGCCGAGTTAAAGACACGGGGATTCAGGGTTGTTGGTGTGTGTGGTGGCAAGGAGTCTGTGCGGCCTGCAGCCAAGAGCTGCAGTCGGACTGTGTGAATAAAGTTGGCTCTCAAATTAAACCTCCGAACCCATCATGCATCATCCTTGGCACAGTGGTGCCAAAACCCAGGAAGTGGCATGGCGGGTCCACACCTGAACCAGGGAAGGGAGGAGCTGGCCCAGATAGTGGCCGAAATGGCAGCCACCCAGCAGGAGCAGGCGGCGGAGGTGCGCCGCAGGCAGGAAGAACTGCGGGGTGAGACCGAGCGACACCTAAGAAGAATGTTGGAGATGGCGGCCCTGCTTCAGGACTGGGCGGCCCCGCTGCCGCCACCCCCACTGGAATGTACTGAGGAATGCGGGAGGTACCTTGGCAGCCGGAGGTGGGGGATGAGGCGCGCGTTAGTCTGCGTCTGCTGGAGCAGGGGGAGCAGCCGGGCAAAGGGCTGGTCCTGCCGGGAGCGGTGGAGGCACCGCTCCAGCCGGAAGCAGTGGACGAGGCACGCAGGGGTCCACACCGACCGGAGGAAGAAGAGCCGCTCCGGGAAGGGCTGTTCCAGCCGGGAGTGGTGGAGGAGCCGCTCCAGCCAGAAGTGGATGAGGAGCGAGAGGGTTCGTGCCCGCTGGAGGTGGAGGAGCCGCTGCGTGAGGGGTTGCTCCAGCTGGGAGCAGTGGAGGAGCTGCCCCAGCCGGAGATGGCGGAGGTGCCAGTCCCAGGGGAGTCTGCGCAACCTGGGGCCGAGGGCGAGGAGTGAGTCACTCCGGAGCGACGTATGCCGGCCCAGCCACCCGTGAGCCGGGGCTCCCGACCATGTCTGCGGTGGTTGGCCTCCGGACGAGTGTTGCCGCCGCTGCTGGGGGCGTGGGCAGCCTCGGATTCAGGGTTGTTGGTCTGTGTAGTGGCAAGGAGTCTGTGCAGCCTGCAGCTGAGAGCTGCAGTCACACTGTGTGAATAAAGTTGGCTCTCAAATCAAACCTCTGGACCCGTCATGCATCATCCTTGCCACACACCGATTCTGTTCATAATTTTTATGGACAGAATTTCTAGGTGTAGCCAATTGGCGGAAGACTTATACTTGGGTGTTTTCAGAATCTCATCTCTGCTTTTCGCAGATGAGTTCTGTTGGCTTAATCAGGCGACAGCCTCCAGCGAATCTGAGGCCATGGTCCTCAGCTGGAAAATGGTGGAGTACCCACTCTGCGTCAGGGAAAAGTTCCTGCCCCCAGTGGAGGAGTTTAAGTATTGAGGGTCTTGTTCACGAGTGATGGGAGAAGGGATCAGGAGATCGACAGATGGACTGGTGCTGTGGCTGCAGTGATGCGTACGCTGTACCGGTCCATCATGGTAAAGAGTGTAAAAACGAAGCACTCAATTTACCAGTCGATCTACGTTCCTAACCTCACCTATGGTCATGAGCTGTGGGTAGTGACAGAAAGAACGAGATTGCAAGTGACGGAAATGAGCTTCCTCCAAAGGGTGGCTGGCTTCTCCCTTAGAGATAGGGTGATGAATTTGGGAGGGGCTCAAAGTAGAGCTGCTGCTCTTCCACATCAAAAGGAGCCAGTTTAGGTGGTTCGGGCATCTGACAAGGACGCCTCCTGGGCGAGGTGTTCCGGGCATGGGGCAGACCTAGGATCCGCAATATCTCTCAGCTGGCCTGGGAACGCCTTGGTGTTCCCCAGGACAAGCTGGAGGAGGTGGCCAGGGAGAAGGAGGTCTGGGCTTCTCTGCTTAGGCTGCTGCCCCCACGACCCAGCCCCGGATAAGCTTTTCTGTTCTCCTGGTGCACTCAATACAACATGGCTCCTTCACCCATACACACAAGCATTATTTTCATCCTTAAGTACTTTCTATTTGAAATTCAGACGCATTCATATTCCAATAGATGAATCAGAGAAAAAATTAGGGTTAGTATCCTATCTATTTGGCATGCAAACTGAAGCAGCCAGGAATGAGCCATCACCTTTGCGATTAATAGATGACCCATACTACCTCCTAAGCTATGCTAATGACAAAGAACCACCTCCTTGCTCCAAGGAGTTTTCATTGTGCCGGAATAGGAGACCATGCACTACTTCTTGCATTTCAGCTCAGACATTTTCCAGTATTATTAGTTTCATATGATAGACACCATATTTATGGTGTTTACACTTGTTTGTGAAGCTCTGTGAAACATTCACTATTGTTTTGTGATAACAAAATTAATATTTTATTTTAAATGAATAACCTTTGGCATATTTAAGTTAAGCTACCCTATGGCTTCAACAGGTCAGTGTATTTTTCTTTCTTTAACCCATCTTACAAACTTGTGTCATTTTTCTGAAGATAGCTGAGACTTGTTTGAATCTTGAGGTACTTTCATTTTAATTTATAAACACAAAAATAGTACTCAATAGTACTCAAAAAATATGGCAAAAATAGTACTCTATTTTTTTGTTATTACTTTAGTTATACAAAATACAACTAGTTACTACATGGATTAATCATCCATTTGCTTCTGCTTATCCTTTTTCAGGGTCGCGGGGGGTGCTGGAGCCTTTCCCAGCTGTCTTAGGACGAGAGGCAGGGTACACCCTGGACAGGTCGCCAGTCTGTTGCAGGGCTAACACATATGCACAGACAACCATTCACACACAAATGCACTCCCACATTCACACCTATGGGCAATTTAGAGTTTCCGATTAACCTATCCCCACTAACTGCACGTCTTTGGACTGTGGGAGAAAACTGGAGAACCCACGCAAACATGGGGAGAACATGCAAACTCCACACAGAAAGACCCCGATCCAATGGTGGAATTGAACTCAATATTCAATTTTATTCAATTTTATTTATATAGTGCCTAATCACAACAACAGTCAGCACAAGGCCCCTAATATTTTATGGTAAAGACCCTACAATATTATTGCGAAACTTCAACAATTAGATGACTCAATTGATACTTTAATTTTAGATTTACTGTGGTGACAGAAATTTTTATTTCAAGAGTGTGAAAATATTTTCCATCCATCCATCCATTTTCATCCGCTTTGTCCGGGGCCGGGTCGCGGGGGCAGCAGCCTAAGCAAAGAGGCCCAGACCTCCCTCTCCCCAGCCACCTCCTCCAGCTTATCCGGGGGAATACCAAGGCGTTCCCAGGCCAGCCGAGAGATATAATCTCTCCAGCGTGTCCTGGGTCTGCCCGGGGCCTCCTCCCGGTGGGACATGCCTGGAACACCTCACCCAAGAGGCGCCCAGGGGGCATCCTTGTCAGATGCCCGAACCACCTCAGCTGGCTCCTTTCGATGTGGAGCAGCAGCTGCTCTACTCTGAGCCCCTCCCGGATGGCCGAACTTCTCACCCTATCTCTAAGGGAGAGGCCAGCCACCCTTCGGAGGAAGCTCATTTCTGCCACTTGTATCCGCGATCTCGTTCTTTCGGTCACTACCCACAGCTCGTGGCCATAGGTGAGGGTAGGGACGTAGATCGACCGGTAAATTGAGAGCTTCGCTTTTACACTCAGCTCCCTCTTAACCAATATTTTACAGATGAAAATTTCAAAATACCAACAATTTTCTCCACATTCTCACTTTTTATTCTACAAGCTCCCACATTTTACAGTACTATCACGTCTTTAAGATAAGATGGGGGCCTGATTATTGAAGACCTTACATGTGAGAAGTATTTCAAGTTATTAAATAAACTTAAACTTTCTAAACGAAATAAACACATACTTATTTACTTGCTTACTCAGATGACATTTTACACAGACACAGATACTAGGTCTCTCTCTCTCTCTCTCTCTCTCTCTCTCTCTCTCTCTCTCTCTCTCTCAAACCCACACCTTCACCCCACCCTTTGGCCAGGTTGGGTTACACACATTACACAAGTGATACAGCCTCAGATATCACACTCTTCATAAATTATTATTGCAGAGCCTGTGAGACGTAGGGAGTATGTGGAATTAGCCAGGTAGTTGGCAAGTGAAGTGCTCAGCGTGGATGGAGCAGCAGAATCAGGATGGATATTTCTGCTTTGCCCAACAATAACCACCCTGAGAAATTCCTCCAGCTAGACGTTGGGATGCTGCCAGCCACACACAGCATGTTCCAGGTTGGGGCAGTAATGTCCAGTCAGAAACAATGGCAGAACAGGATTTACTCTCAGGTATGATCTTTGTGACAGTAGTTTGAAATAGCAGAGCAGGAGAGCACAGCATTGTTGTGTCATACTTGGCTTACAAGACACCAAAAACATGAACAAACATTAAGTTATAACATTATAGTACAAATATATTTTGTTTTTAGCTCTTTAAATTTGCAGTAGAGCTTTTGACAATAAAGCTGACTTTGACTTTGAATTCGAAAGACAACAAACAGCTCCATGTTGAGCATGCATGAGTTTTGGTGGTATGTTTAACACACCTGGGACTTTTTTTTTTAAATCTTGTTAATAATTTTACTTCCTCACTGTGGATGGCTCCTCTGAAAAAGAAAGCCTTTAATTACATGACTCCCTGGTTTAGGCTATCTAACCAGTGTAGCCTACAGCTCCATAGAAAATGTTAAAGCTGGATGGATTGAGAATTCTTCTCTGTCTCCACAGAGGGAGCCAAGGGTAACAACCAAAAGCAGTTCTGTGCCACACCCAGACTGGAGTCCTGTGGTGTTTGTGGACAGATACCTGGAGAAGCACATCACTCCATCCACTCTGAAGACCAACATCAGACAGAACCCTCTGTACATGGATGTAAAATCAGTGATTGAGCAGAATGAGACATCACACCCTTCCTGGACTGTCAAGGACTATGACACTCAAGCAAACCATAGCAATCTTGCAGAATATTTACAGGTAATTTGTGGAAAAGTAAAAAGGTTGTGGAAGATTAACAAGGTTAATGTTTGTTTGGATACACAAAACAGTTGTTAGTGCAGTTGTTTGCTAGGAGGACATGCATATATGTAAACAAAGAACTGTGCATGTATATATATATATATATGCATATGCATATACAGCGGGTAAAATAAGTATTAAATATGTCACCAATTTTATAAGCAAATATATTTCTAAAAAGGATTTTGACATAAATTGTCATGGCAAGAACCCATCCAATCCAGAAATGCAAAGAAATTAAACAGTTGTCCATAAAGTTATGTGTAATAATGAGAAGTAACACAGGGAAAAAGCATCGAACAAGATACCTGAAATTAATTTAATACTTCGTGTAAGAGCCTCTTTTGGTGATGGCATCTTCAAGATGTTTTCTGTATGGAGAAACTAGTCTCATGCATTCTTCAGCAGTGGAGTCTTGCGTAGTGAGTGTGCATACAGGCCATGGCAGTTAAGTAAATTATTACTTATTGTTTTCTTTAAAACAATTGTACCTGCTGATTCCAGGTCTTTCTGTAGCTCTCCACCAGTGGGCGTTGGCTCTTGGACAACTCTTCTGTTAATTAGAGTCTGAGTTAAAATCTAATGAGAAGCGCTTGGTTGTTGGTTTATGTTGACATGATTCTGAATTATGGCCCCAGCAGTGCTCACTGGAACCTTCATTAGCTTAGAAATACTTCTCTAACTAATGCCATCAGTATGTTTTGCAACAGTAAGATTCCAGTGGTCGAAACAGGCTTGTTGGTTTTACCCATCATGAGATGTTTCTTGATGCTTCTCACTACTGGAGTGGCTGTAGCTCAGGAGGTAGAGCAGGTCATCTGCTAATTGGAAGGTTGGCGGTTTGATCCCTGGCTGCTTCAGTCTGCATAACAAATATTCTTGGGAAAGATGCTCTCTAATGCATCTATAGGATGTTAGATAGAAACAGAATTGCAAAAAAGTGCTTGGACGAATGGAGCAAGTTGTGTTAAGTGCTTTCATTACTATTCCACTTTATTTATGGAAATCTATGGTTTGATTTCTTTGCATGTGATTTCTTTGACATTTAGTGAGAATGTATTGTCAATAACACCTTTAGAAATATATTTACTTACAAAATTGGTGATATGTTCAATACTTATTTTATATATTGTATAGGCACACTAAAGAACCAAAAGAAATAAAGAAGATATGAGCAAGTGAATGCTTAGGGCTCAATTGCTGAGCAAAAATCACTGACTAAGGTCTTCTAATATGATGATTGCCATCTAAACAGTTTTATTCATTTCCCCACAAGTATGCATTTTTGCATATTTGCAGTTGTTGATTTCCAAATATACTCTCTTTGGATCTCATCAAAAAGTCCTTCATTCAATAAAATCCCCACGTTTTGGTGTAAATACCAGTTTTTATTTATACCATTTAACCCTTGGAGCTTCTTTCCAGATGATGTCTGTGATGGTTTAATACTTACACATTTAGGTGGCTTTGATTATTTTTATATTGTAACATAATGTGATATATTTCTCTTCACTAGTTTTTCTGACCACTGAAGGACTAAAAGTATTCCTGTCTTGCTAGCATTAGTGTGCCTTCACCCCTGAGTCAATATTTGCTAAGTCACTACTACAGTACTTGTGCCCCCAAAACTTATAGCTTACCAGCTGCACTTTAAATATTAAGGAAAATAAAAAAATGCCGTCATCAAGTGTTGACTTAAAACTTTTTTGTTTCAATTTCAGTAAATAAACATGTTTAGGGGAAGGAACCCTTCTGGGAGAACACTATGATTTGCAGTGGTCATGTATATTTCTGAACAAAATGTATCAGCACACTTTTAGTTGATGTGTAACCATCAAATTATGGCGTTCAACAACCACAAATCTTCAATTTAGGAGTCATTATTTAGCTTACTTTGATGCTGTTTGTGTTGTTGTGTGTAAAGATGCAACATAGAAATGATTTGCCTTTCTATTTCTGTAGTCCATGTTGCCAGAAATCCTAAGATTCAAAAGTGACCAGTGGTACGCTACTCTTGTGATTGTGGCAAATGTTAATGCAGGTTAATGCAACAGTTAGCTCTCCGTCCCCTGTGCAGCACGTTATGTGCCACTATTCTTTGACGGTGCAGCAGCCAGTCTTCTTGGGTGGTAAGCCTTAAACTTTAGAGGTCAGACTCATTAGCCAGGCATTAGCATTTGCCTTTGTATGTACACAGGCTGCTTGAAAGAAAGCAACAAAAGAACGGGAATCTCATGTAGTCAATGGGCATCTGTTGGCAGAAAAGAATGGTGCATTTTTTTTTTTTAATGCACAGGAAATGTTCTTCCTGAGTCTGCTAAAGGGAGCAGATATGTTACAAACACATATTTACTGTATGTCTAACAACAAGAATCTTGGTGCACTTTTTCATACACTGTTTCACATCTTTGTTTTCTTTGTAGGAAGAGGACAAGACTCCTAAAGATCTGGATTTCTGGCTCGAGGATCTCTACACACCGGGATTTGATTCTTTACTGAAGAGGAAAGAAGCAGAGCGCAGAAGAAGACTCTGTAAAATTATCTCTTCAATCATTGTGATTGTTTGTGTACTTCTTCTTTTTGTTGCAGTAGCTGTGGTTCTCCACAAAAACATCTGACTTTCACCCTAATGGCTTCATATACATAATGGACATGTTTTGGCTACAATCTGTGGGGGTCGTGAATTCAAAGCACATTCTCTAATTAACTGTCAAGTATTTGCTGAAATATAATTTTTAAATTAGTTGAAATGCACTAAAACACACAGTTTTGTGAAGGTTTGCCTGGATCTGCTGGAGGTCTCTTCCTGTTTAAAGTGAGTTCCTCCTTCCCACAAATGCCGATTTCTAATACTGTAGGGTCCATTATCTTGCTATATAGTGATTACAAAAACATAAAATATTTTGGTAAGTACTAATCATGTTAATTTAGGGCAGCAGCAGGATTATATTTATACTGGCTGGTGATCAGTTATTTAAAAACTGTGAAAGCCCAGGAAGAAAAGATATGATGTAGGAAAATAATTAATATTTGCCCTTGAAATTTAACACTTTGTCTTTATGTGGTGCGGTAGACTGATATAAATAAAGAGTGAGGGTGCACTTATAAAGATGCCCAGCCACAGATGTAACTGCGTACTTGTACATTTCAATCTATAAATGCTTTTCAACTCTTCATCTCAAAGTGTTATCTTTCTTTAAGGTGCAGAAGACAAACGTTTTGTATTTTTCTTCCGAAAGTGCAGGGAACAGATTTGTTTGGGTTAAACAGTTGGCTTTATGCCCTGTGTTGAAATGATAATTATCGAATCCTGACCAATAGGTGTTTGAGCTCTGTTGCCCCATCCATCTTATACCACAGAGCTTTTACGATAAATACAATAAGGATCTTAAAACTATTTTTTTAATTTATTGCTCTCTTCATGGTTTTGTATTTTCACTTTTAGTGTTATTATTTTATACATTAGATTTTTTATATTACATTATGCAAGTTACATGGACCAAAACACTGTAACTGAATAAAAATAGCGATAAGCAGGACAGTGTGCTGAGGGTTTATTATACATTTCTCTACCAAAAAAAACAAATACACTAGCTGTCATTGATTTAGTTGTGCAGAGTTTTTCCTATAATTTGTTGTCTGCTGTAACACAGTATTAGACCTCCATTAACCCCCAACAGCAAATAAACCTAAAATAGTCCCCCCACCCCACCCTAAGGAGATTTCTTCCTCAGATCAGATCGCTGATTCACTTTAACACTCTAGGAGCTTTATCCATTATGCAAAATTCAGTAAACAATACATAAAACTGAATTAAATAGAAGCCTTGCAAACCACAAATGCAGACTACAGATGTTAATGGTTTCATTTGGTTTATTTATTGCAATAAAGATGTACAAAGTACTGGTAATCATACATGTTAAAATGTTAGAAAAAGCATATCTGTGACTGTTAACAGTATCAAAACATTCCTGCTTCAACCAGCTGGGCCTTACACGTTTGAGTTAAAGCAGGAGAAAACTGGTTTGAGCCGCTTGTCATCATATCTTTTTCTTCATTGAAAGGCTACAGATACAGACTCAAGGAGAAAGACAATTTGCTAAAATCAAAAGGAAACAAACTGCAAAAGAAAAAAAACCATTGACATGCAAATCAAATTACAACCAAAACTCCAAATATTAAAAGACAAAAAAAAAAAAGTCTGAACTAAAATAAATACCCTTCCAACATGTTCCATGTGTACATACTATTACGTTTATTTACATGTTAGTTTATACTTACTATAAACTTAGTGATGTCAACCACCAATAGATTTTAGGACCATTTTATCATTTTTGAAATATTAGAATCCACCCTCATGGAACAACATGCCTGCTTTAGGAGGAACAGGGAATATGGCAAAGAATACAAACAATGATTAGAACTCAAATAATGCCTCGACTTACACGTACATATGATTCGATCTGTTGAGGACAATGCAGTAATTTTGTCAGACAGATGTTAGGCTCTATCGAGACAAATGAGGGAAACACCCAAACACCATTAGCTGGCTGGAAAACGTTGATAGGAGGTATTTTTGTTTCGTTTAATGTGACATGAAAAAGAACCCCTCTAATTGATACATGAGTGTTGTGTTTTTTTATATTATGTATGTATGTATATAACTGTGTGTGTATAATTACAGATAGATACAGATATAGATAGATAGATAAGCAAATATAATCTTTTTAAATATACAAATGGTTTAACCCGTGTTCTTGTTTGTAATAATGTTGTTCTGTACCAACAAGAGAACAAGAGTGAATGCCTCACAACACAACAACGAACAGAGATCTGAAAGATACACTCCTTTATTTTGTTATAGTACACAATAGTGCCCCCAAATCCCCATCTCAGCCCACATTGATAATCTCAGATTTATATTGCCCAAAATGCACAGCAAAAAACAAAAAAAAAAAAGACCAAAACAAAAACTGCAGTTTGTTTCACTAATTGTATTGCTTAGCAGTTAGTCTTCAAGAAATTCATTTACATTTGCTCTAATACAGAAATATTCAGTCATACTTCATAATTTGAGTTAAGCATAACTTAGTTTCACTGTTTAAGTTACAGTGCACAGGGATGCACTCAGCTGCAGGAACACCAAATTTTAGATACATTTTGTCTTTTATTTTGAAAAGCAGTGTCAGCTGGATTAGAATGAACACCAGCTGTGGTGTGGACGAATTTTGGTATTTGAGGCTGTTACACAATGTAGGACTGCCTTCGAAATGATCTAACAGTGCTTTCCAAGCCCACACTTTCAACATAACTAAAACTTATTCCGGCTACATTTAGCACTCTGGTGAGTAAGACTATAGATCTATATAATATGTTTGTACTGAATCCTATCAACAGTCCCTGCAAACATTACACACATGGATTATTAACGTAGTGATAATCCATGTGAACAACAGAGTGGTGGGCAATGGTGCTGCATGAACGCTAATAGCACAATGAAGCCGACAGACAGAACACTATTGTGCTAACTGCAGTATATGCAGGAAACATATGATACATATGACAATGGAAACCAAAAGGTACTACTAGTGTAGTGTACATTCAACTAACCTAAGCACTCTCACATTCTTCTTTTAAATTGCATATAGTAAAGTTTCATTTGCTTCATAGTAGTTTCTCACCCATAATCATAATGAGCCAAAGTCCATGCTGTTTAATTCAAAATAACGAGACCACCCACAATGACTTGTGCATCTCTGCTGTATTTAACAACACAATGCAGAGGCTTCAAAATATCATGACTAATTTTAGGGCAATGCACTTAAAATAATCATCTATGCTAGAACCACTCCAACCAACCCGTTTATGCTCAGCTGTTTTAATAACAACATTTGCAATCTTAACAAAAGCTAACGGGTTACTTTCACTTTACTGTCCATTTTCCCCACAAAACTCAAATGCAATGAGTTTTATGAATTGATTTTAGGCTCAGGGTTATTTTTCTCTGTGACGACACCTGTGACCACTCCCCAAAGTAACAGCTGTACTATTGTATACTGAAGCTAGTTAATCAATATTCTCTACAGTCACAGTAGAACAGGGGATACATGTGACCTCTACAGTACACTACAACTGGAAAATGTCTATGTATGGCTTTTTTTTGTGATGCCACGTCACCCCTAAAATCAATAGTAATAATTAAGCTAAAAGACAGGGATGTGCCACAAGTGCACACTAAATGAAGTGAGGCTAAATGACTAATGCAGATTAAGATGCATATGCGCTGAGACTTAATAATGGATGAATATCTGCATTTACACACAAACCCTTCAGCCAACATGGCTTAAGAGGGAGCGAGAACTTATGACAATCGTGACAGTATAGTATAGTTCTAGCATTAAGGCAAGGTTTGGACTAGCATCTTGAAGGGTAGAAGAGTGTCTTTACAGCGAAACAACAATACATGTGGCCACAGAACCAAAGAAAGCTGGTAATCGGCAGCTACTAGGGAGAGATTTTATCCACCTGAAAAGGCTAAAGAAAAACCCAGCCTCACATTTTTTCTGACAGAGACTTTAAGTCTATGCCCACATGCACCCCTCCCCTACAAACTGTGTCTAAAAGATCAAGGATCTTGTTGTGATGAGTATTCAGCAACTTATACGAAGGAAGACTAAAAAGTGAAAAATATAAAAATCAAAGCCCCAAATAAATATTGGTGATTAAGGTCAAAACTGTAAGAGTGTTCAAATTGACACCCTTTATAAAATTCTACTTTAAATCCACCTGCACAGCTAAGAAGGAAATTCTGTTAAAATTGTCAATCTGAATAGAGATTCTAATTCCGTTTCATCCGATTCGACTGGAAGGCACATCCATAAGGCTTTAGAAGGTGTTGCAAAGCATTTTCCCCAACTTGGAAAAAAAACATAACAGGGTGATTATTGCTGGAGCAAACAACATCTGGTCTGATAAACTTAAAATGTATGACATCAATATATTCCACATCATGAACACATCTATATTGTGCATGCCTGCTTTAGAGAGCCTGAGAGAAATCAACTTGAACAAAAATGACACTTTAATGAGGAAATCAGAAGGAACTAGAGCAACGAGAGAATAACCCAGACATCTTGGAATAAAAAGAAAGAAAGGAAAAAGAGTGGGCAACTTTACAACCAGCACCCACCCCAACATAAAATTCCTCCATCACAAAACACGTAGCACTTTTACACAAAAAAAATAGCACTTTCATTGGATTCATATTACTCAGCACTGTTTCCATCACTGGCTTGTATTCTGCTATCTCAGGAGTGTATGTGGTGGACCTTTAGACTTTAGCTGTGACTTAAATCACCGGCTTTTCCCCTTTAAGAGTAGAAGGTGAGGACACTCTGGTGGTTGCCACGCACCAGAAGGATGGGAGGCAGATCCTTGGACAATGCCTCCAGCCAGGCCATGTAGAGAGCACTGGACACAGCACCCTTCCTGGCTAATGGGAGGCTTCTGCACAGAGAAAGGCAAAGAAAGAGACTGCAATGAAACTATAACCAAAAAGGAGCAATAAGAAAAGTTCTAAAAATCAGGTACTGTTATCTCTACACATAATGGTTTAAGA